CGCACATACGACGAGGAGTTATTTGCGTTCACGTTAAGATTTGGAGCACCATGGGGTTGCCCATTACCCCCGTTCCCGTTAAACTGTATCGTTCACCGAATAATAAGCCGTTCCATTGAAAGCTACCAGGGAGTTCAGACTTCTCCTAACTACTACTGACATAGAATTCGCCGATGACGCTGTCGTCTTTTGTGACGATGTGCTCGAGCTAAAAAAATCTGTTGGTCGCATCAGCTGACAGGCTTCCATGTTAGGTATAAGGATGAGCACATTCAGAACCCAAATGTTTGCTACACTCCTAGTTCGTCCTGAGGATACTGTAAAATTAATTGGCAAGCTGAGACAGTCGACGATTAGAAGTCATCGACCAATGGTGCCTAAGAATCATTCTGGGAGACAGGTCAAGGAACCAGCTCCCAAATTGAGCGGTCGGAAATTGGTGTTTCAATCTCATAAGGTTAAGCACGTACAACCAGCGGCCACAACTGCAATAGTTTGGACAACTACTACTACTACTACAACCAGTAGTAGTACTACTATCACCAAAGCTGCCTTGGCATCGTCTTCTGCCCGGACTGGTACTGAATAACTGAAACTGAAACTGGAACACGTTACGCAAGGATGCAGAACTAATTGGCCTTCCCTATGTTTATGATAATCGCCAATGCATTGCTGGCTGGATCACGATCTGCAAAGATTTTGCCGCACACAACCGATCTGTGGCAGCTGCGGCCTTAAAGGAAATCGTGTAAGTGTTTTACCAGTATGTCTTGTGTTGGCCTCACCCCATCGAGTTTCGTATTACTCGGATGTGACAGAGTGCAAAATTTGTTAGGACTCATTAGCACTGGTTCATGATTTTCTTCCTGACTGTGAATAATTTAGTGGATATCATGAACAGCGCATGTTTGATTTTGGAACATACTGGATTTCATTTTCTTTCCATCTTTTTTTTCGATACCGAAGCTTTCCCCAACGTTAAAATTACCGATTAAGAATGACATAGAGATTTGTCGATTCGGTGGTTTATGTATTCATACCCGTGTTTGATGTCAAGATCCTTCACTGATGCAGTTAGGAGTGACACCAAACTTTGCAAAATGCACCAAATATCATACAGTTGATCGGAAAGAAAAATATGCAGAAAATCGTATTTTTTCTGGCTAGGGGATGCGCTTATTTGCAGTTGGAAGGAGCTCGGGAGTGCCCCCCCTCTCATCGATTTATAGGTTTTACAACTTGGAATAAATGTATTGCACCTTGCAATGACTCCGTTGTAACATTAGGTGAGTAGACTAATGGTGCCGTATTGACGTGGTCTCAACATTAATAGTTCCTCGATCATCTTGCTTCGTCAAGCAATCTCCTTTTGTCTACACGTGATAAAATAACTTTTAAAAGTAGCATATAAAATTGCCGACCTATGAGTACAGTGATATTAGACGTGCGGGCATCAAATATATATATATATATATATCGGTAAGCTCAAAACATACAAATGTTTAAATATGCTCACTTAATCAGCTTGCTTGAATCACAACAAAATATCCCGAAACAGTTCAAAGACCACGAAATTCATCATGCTGTGATCATAGCTGAAGTATTCACACAAACGTTTACACCCTAATTTGAGATACACCTGAATCAAATTACTATGTTCTCTAACGGGGTACCTTTGTGTTGCATTCGATCGAAAATTTATCTCGTTGAACTTTATCGAAATTACACGAAGGAAACTGACTGATCTCATAATAGTTAATTT